CGCATGATCTCGTCAAGCGCGCCTGCAGTTACATCTAAGTTCTTCAGAAGCGTGAAAACGAATCGCTTTGCAGTCGTACTTCCAGTGCCAAGCCAAGACTTCCATGTAAAGAAATACACCGACTCTGTCTAGAAAACGCACCAGCATCGCCATGCAGCCCGACCAGAACTGATCGTGCCCAATCTTCGCGCTTCAAAACAGGGCGTGCTGATACAAATGCAGTGTCTTTCATCGATTCCCAAAAAAATCGAAGGCCGCGCCTTCTGGCCCCGTCACGCAGGTTTGCCACGTCCCAGGCGCATCCATGGAAAGCCAGCGAAACCACTCATGTGGCAGAAAGAGTGGGCGCACTATCTTGCCTCTAGCTGTAGGCAATTCAGCCCACGTGAAATCAGGTGTACCTCTCGGCTTCACAAAAAATGCAACGAACGATCGCTGCGCGTTTTGCGCGCGAAAAGAGCGAGCGAAACTCTGAAGCCCACGGGCCCCCTGGTTATGGGCAGCAGCGCAGTACCCCAGTACCTTCCCGGAACTCAGTTTCCCTCGGCCCCAATCGCGCTTCATAGCAGCAGTGAGTGGGAGATCGGTTTCGGCACTGCGGGGCTCATCCGCTGCAGACGGCCCTTCGGCGGCGTGACGCTGGCGAACCCCTCTCTGCGGCACCGACGACGCCTCCACTCTCGAGCTAGACGGGGCGCCAGGCGCACCTGATTCCTCCAAACGTTGGCGCACGCCGCCACGACCGACGGAAAAAACAGCAGGAATGGCGCCGCCGCGGGCCCCCCCGTCGCCAGATAGGTCTGCCACGCGTCGCTTCACACTTCCAATCATCCGACACGCGTGGAGCTTAATTCTGGGGGCGCTGGAGCCAACGCTTGAGCCAAAATGACTACGGATTTGAGGAGTGGCCGAGAGAAGCAAAGCCTTTGCAGGGGCAGCAAGGACAGCCGCTCTATATCCAGTGCCATAATATAACGAGGGTGATAACATGAAATAAACATGTCGGCTACATGATTTGTTTGTTTGTGCCTCGCTGAGGAAACCAATGCGAACATGTTTAAAAATATGTCACATCCAGCAAACAGTCAATAAACACCTAACACAACAAATGGCAAAACAAAAATAGGAAACAAACCAAAACAAAACTTAGAATTAAGAAAACAATGCAAAATCACTTACATTGTAATTTTCTGTTACAAATAAATAAAAACGTTCATTATAAAACATAATGATCGAGCGTCATGGCAGGGACATATGCTGCCCCCCGTTTGGGCTTCGCGGGACCCATCCCCACCCGGGCGAACAACACTCGGGAACCCCCAAATGGTGTGGTGACCACACCGCGCGGTTCGCCAGTGGGGATTCCTGGCCGTCGCTCGGACGTCCATTCCGTGTTTTTTTTTTTTCTGGTTCGTGCGTGTTGTTTCCCAACCCTCTTGCGTTGGGTACTCGTTTTGAATAGAGCACTGCGGTCTCGTCTCCCCTCCTCCTCCTTCCCGCCCCCCTCCTTTCCTCTCTTCCCCTCCTCCTCTTTTCTCTTGCATCCCTTCTCCTTTCGTCGCTCCTCCTCTTCTCTCTTGCTTCCCCTCACCTCTCAACGTCGGTCCTCCTCTTCTCTCTTGCCTTTTTACGTCGCTTGCCCCTCGCCATCCCTGGGGGGCTGCGATCTGTGAAACTGTCGCCACTTTCGAGGGCTGCTGGGGGGTCCAGCACAGTGACGTCGCACGGGGACTCCGATTCGACCTCGCCATCGCTGGGGGGGGGCTGCGATCTGTGAAACTGTCGCCACTTTCGAGGGCTGCTGGGGGGCCCAGCACAGTGACGTCTTACGGGGACCCAGATTCGACCTCGCCATCCCTGGGGGGCTGCGATCTGTGAAACTGTCGCCGCTGTCGAGGGCTGCTGGGGAGCCCAGCACAGTGACGTCTTACGGGGACTCAAATTAGACCTCGCCATCGCTGCGGGGCTGCCATCCGTGAAACTGTCGCCACTTTCGAGGGCTGCTGGGGGGGGGCAGCGGAGTGACGTCGCACAGGGGACCCAGATTCGACCTCGCCATCGCTGGGGGGCTGCGATCTGTGAAACTGTCGCCACGTTCGAGGGCTGCTGGGGGGCCCAGCACAGTGACGTTTTACGGAGACTCATACTAAACCTCGCCATCGCTGTGGGGCTGCGATCCGTGAAACTGTCGCCACTTTCGATGACTGCTGAGGGGCCAAGCCCAGTGACGTCTTACGGGGACTCAGATTCGACCTCGCCATCCCTGGGGGGCTGCGATCTGTGAAACTGTCGCCGCTTTCGAGGGCTGCTGGGGGGCCCAGCACAGTGACGTCTTACGGGGACCCAGATTAGACTTCGCCATCCCTGTGGGGCTGCGATCTGTGAAACTGTCGCCGCTTTCGAGGGCTGCTGGGGGGCCCAGCACAGTGACGCCTTACGGAGACTCAAATTAGACCTCGCCATCGCTGGGGGGCTGCCATCCGTGAAACTGTCGCCACGTTCGAAGGCTGCTGGGGGGGGCAGCGGAGTGACGTCGTACGGGGACCCAGATTCGACCTCGCCATCCCTGGGGGGCTGCGATCTGTGAAACTGTCGCCACTTTCGAGGGCTGCTGGGGGGCCCTGCACAGTGACGTCTTACGGGGACCCAGATTAGACCTCGCCATTCCTGCGGAAAGAAGCTCAAGGAGCTCGATGACAGCATCGACGCTGCGAACGCGGCGGGCCTCGTCTTCATCGAGCCAAAGAGTTCGAGCCCGTTCGACTTCCGCCAATACAAGGTCACGCGCACTGGCTTCGTCATCTCCCACGCCGAGGTCCTGACGTCCACTGCCTGCCAGGGCCGCACCATGCACCGCGGAGTCATTGTTGACGCAGGGTGCACGGATGCGAACGACCTGGACGCTCTATGGCTGCACCTTTACGTGATGCTGTCCAGGGCGACGACGATAGGCAACCTACTGATGGTGCGCGACCCCGGCCTTGACTTTCTTGCCCGCGGCCCACCGGCAGACCTTGCGGAGAAACTGCGGAAGTTCAGCCCCCGCACTGCAACATGCAGGAAGGAGGCAGAGAAGCTGGCGCGCGAGCTAGGTCTCGATCGCTCTTTGCACTAGATATAAACAGGTATCATCCTGTGGACAGGCAGCAGGCATGCGTTGACCGAGCTCCTGCAAAAAGGAAACAGTCTCTTGCTTCCTCCCTCCTCTGTCATCATCGCCGCCCTAGTCCTCCTGTCACCTTATGCATTCACGCTGCTGCTGCTGCCGCGATGGCTCCTCGCCCCTCCCTATTAGGTTCGTCCTTCTCCTATCCTTCGTTCCTGCCCCCGTTATCCCCGTCTTATCGATTGCTGTCCTGAGAGTCGTGCAACATTACGTGTCCCATGCAGCTAACACTACAAATCTCCGCGCATGCATTGTCATTGTTCCTGCTAATGTTTCCCTACTCTTCTTGCCACGTGATTGCATTGGGTTGGGTACGTCGCAGGGTAATTTTTGGCCAAATGATCAAGGATACTCCTCGATGGTCCTCGCCGAAAGAAAAATGCACACGCCCGAGCGATGCCAAGATTCGGGGTCACCGCGCGTTATCGGGACACGAGTCGTTCTCAGAGGACGCCTCGGGCGACGGGGGCCTCCGAGGGCCCCAAGGCAGCGCGGTGGCGGGGGCGCGCGGGGAGGTCTCCGGGCACTTCGAGAGGCCGCCGCGCGGTCCGTCGCCACACCGCTTCAGGACCACGAGTTGGGGCACCTGGCGCCAGCTCGACATCGCCAGGAGTGCATATTTATATATATATATATATATATATATATATATTATATATATATATAATGACACCCAAAAAAAAACGTGGGGCCTCCCAAACCCCCGACGCCGTGGGCTTCTCACGGCGTGGGCCCCCAGAGGCCTCGGCCCGCTCCCTGGGACAAGTCTTCCGTGCCGAGCCGTTGTTGAAGGGGCCCTGGGACAAACAAAATACATGCACACAAAAAAAAGGATTCCCCATCTTTTCCCATCTTTTCTGGGTCTCTGTCTTCCCCCCCACTTCCCATTGTTTCCCATATTCTCTGGGGACTCGACGATGAATTGTGTTTGTGTGCTTGTTCCCCTCCTGAGTTGGTGTTGACGGCCCCGGGGCACGGCAAGGGGCCCGCGGAGCCGAGAGAGCGGAGAAGCGCCTCCCCGCCGTGAGTGCAGCTCGAGATGGTGGGCTGGCTCTCCGCCACCACCACCACAGCCACAGCCACAAGCAGGAGGGGGAGGGGGTCCTCCTCCTCCACCTCCTCCTCCTCCTTGTCCTCCGCCTCCTCCCCTCCTCCAAACTGCAGGGCTGGTTCTAATACGTTGGATCTTAAAATGTAGGAGTTTTGATACATGATGAATGTATGAATAAATGAATGCATAACCTCATCCTTTTATTTCTTAATCAACCCTTCATTTGTAAGACATGGTCCGCACGCGGAGCGTGTATTAAAACCGGAGCTGCATGGTGGTGGTGGAAAACAGGCCCGTGACGAGACACGGTTCAGGGGGACGTAAGACCTGGGTACAGGGGACCCGGAAATCCCCGACGAGGCCGTCAAAAAATGACGAGGACGAGCCCGCATTCTGACGAGGCCTCCCGCTGCAGACATCCCACGGAACTCCTCCTCGTCAAAATCCGAGGCGCGGTCGTCAAAAGACGATGGCGAACCCGAGTCCTGGCAAACCCGGGTCTTACACCATCAGCATCATCATGACCATCATCAGCAGCATCATCCTCAGCATCATCATCAGCATCACATTAATCCTCCTCCTCCTCCTGCTCCTCCGACTCCTCAGCCTCGTCGTCCTCCTCCTCATCAGCATCCGCCTCCGCCTCAACCTTCGCCTCCTCCTCCTCATCCTCAACCACCTCCTCCCGCTCCTCCGAACGGTGGAGCTGCGACAGTGGCCCCACGAGGGTGGCCAGCGGCCGAACGACGGCGGCGCGCTGGCGCCGTTTCTGGCCCGGGCGGCCGCTTCTGGCCGCAGCGAGCCGGCCGCCGCGCGTGCGGGGCGGGGGGGAGGCCTCGGGCCGGGACGCCCGAGATGGGCACTCCAGACTTCGTGATAAAAAGGGAGGGGGTCTGGACCCTCCCAGACGGGAAGTTCTAGACCCCCCCCCCCCTGGGAGAACCCTCCAAGACATCGTCCCCAGACCCCCCCCCAGGCCCTCCAAGATGGCCTGGAAGAGACCCCCCCCCCTCAAATGAGACCCCCCTCCCTTGATTACGAAATCTGGAGCAGGGGAAGATGGGCACGATGCCCAGCAGCAGGCGCTGCCCCAAACCGACGGCGGCCGCTGCCTCTCGAGTGGACACAGGCCGCGGCGACACCACCAGCGAGCACGGTTCATAAGGAACAGGAACTGCCGTCGGTCTTTGCACCCGCTCCTTTCGTACCTAGGGGGCGACCAAGAAAGGGGGTGTCCAAGAGGGGGGGGCGCAAGTCATGGCCGGCGGCATGTGCGCGGCCCGGGGGGGGGGGGCCAGGGGCGTAATGAAATAAGAAGAGGCGCCCTGAAATCTGGGGGGAAATGTCATGGCCCCCGCCATGACATCCACCCCCCCCCTAGTCATCCCCCCCTCGCTGCCGCCCCCGAAAAAGGAACAGGAACTGCTGTCGGTCTCTGCACCCACTCTTCTCGTACCCACTTCGATCTTGAGCAGGGACCAACCGTCCAGGCATTCCTATAGTCATACCACGAAATGTTCTTCGAACCCAAAAAAAGTTCTAAGAACAAAAACAATGTTCTTAGAACAGAAACCCGATGTGCTAAAACAAGACGGCCCCAGCCAGAAATGGTCTGAGAACATTTCGTGGGAACCACAAGAGGTTCTTAGAACATTGTTTGGTGGGGCTATAATAGAGGGCAGAAAATCCACCCCGATAATAACCACCCCGACATGCGAGGCCTTTAGTAAACGCGCCCAAAGAAGGAATCGAACAGGGCAGAGCTGTTTAGTAAACGCCCAAGGCCGCTTAGTAAACGCCAATTTGTCCGGTCCGGGTGGTTTTCCCCCCTTGATATAAGCGAGCCAGGACGCTTCGCCACTGCTTGACGATCGTCCCGAACCTCGGGGGCCGCCCCGCGGAACGCGCGGGCGCCCGGCCGCCGCGCGGGCCTTCGCGCGCGGCGGCCCCGCTGCACCGGAGCCCTCGCGAACAAGCCAGGGCTCGTGCGTGCCTCGGCCTCCTCCTCCCAATCTCGGAAGCAGCCCGGGCGGCGGGTCCGTGAGTACCGCCTTCTCCGCCTCCTCCTCCTCCTCCTCCACCTCCTCCTCCACCTCCTCCACATCATCATCATCATCATCATCATCATCATCATCATCATCATCATCATCATCATCATCATCATCATCATCATCATCATCATCATCATCATCATCATCATTCATCATCAGCATCATCATCATCATCATCATCATCATCATCATCATCATCATCATCATCATCATCATCATCATCATCATTCATCATCATCATCATCATCATCATCATCATCATCATCATCATCATCATCATCATCATCATCATCATCATCATCATCATCATCATCATCATCATCATCATCATCATCATCATCATCATCATCATCATCATCATCATCATCAATCATCATCATCATCATCATCAATCATCATCATCATCATCAGCATCAGCATCAGCACCAGCATCATCATTATCAGCATCATCATCATAAGTAGCATCGTCTTCATCGTCGCCGTCTTGTTCGTAGGATCAGTCATCTGTGTTAGTATCCTTCATATGACTATTGTTATGATTCGCATTATCCTTCGTCGTAGTACTACTCGTACCTTGAATTGTTATTCGCATTCGGAGTAGTAATTATCATGACTATTAATTTGATTGGTAGTCGCATCATCAGCAATCGTAGTGATGGCAATAATCCGATCGATCTTGGACTTACAGTCACGTTTAGTATGAATAGTACGATGAGCAGCAGTATGAAAATGAGGTAAGCAGCGCTAAGCTAAGGGGACGTAACTGGGGGAACCGCGGGGCGGATGCCGGGGGAACCGCCCGGGGCGTTATCCACTGCCTGGCCCTTTAAGCACAGAGGGCAAGAACCCTTCTAGGCAGAGCTTAGGTAGGGAAATATCGGTCGGCTCATTCTGATTATTATGTTTCGTCGCCTTCGCCGTAGTATTATTCAATGCACTCGTAGTATGATGCTTAGTACCATTACTAGTACCATAAGTTTATCTTATGTGCATTGGTATCGTCCTCCGCCTCCTCGTCCTCCTCCACTCCCCTCCTCCTCCTCCTCCTCCTCCTCCTCCTCTTCCTGCTCCTCCTCCCCCCCCTCCTCCTCTTCCTCCTCCTCCTCCTCCTCCTCGCCTTCTTCTTTTTCTTTTTCCTCCTCCTCCTCCTCTTCCTCCTCCTCCTCCTCCTCCTCCTCCCGCCCATCCTCCTCCTCCTCCCGCCCATCCTCCTCCTCCTCCTCATCCTCCTCCTCCTCCTCCTCCTCCCTTTCTAGAGCTGGGGAGGCGGAGGAGGCAGGAGGTTGCAGGCCAGAGGTGTTGCTATACGTTTCGAAAGTTTGGTGTACACCGTGTGTTTAGAAGTGTTTTAGACGGGAGGGCGAAGAGAAAAAAAACGAAAAGGCAAGAATAGGGTGTGGGGAGGAGACGGTAACGGGGCGGAAGGAAGACACGGGAGGGAGGAGGCAGAGGAGGGAGCAGGAAGGAGGAAGCGGAAAGCAGAAGGGAGAAAGGAGGAGGGGAGAGGAGAGGAGGGAGCATGGATGAGGGGGGAGGGAGGAGGGACCAGGGAGAAGGGAAGGGGACGAGAGAGGAGGAGGGAGGAGCGAGGAGCGGGAAGGAAGGAGGAAGGAGGGGGGAGCAGAGAGTGAGGAGGGGGGATGGAGGAGTGAAGGTAGAGGCGAGATCCGAGAGGACGGAGGAAGGACGAGAAGGGTTGGAGATAGAAGCAGGAGGGGGCACGTCAAATCTATAGACAGACCGCCCATGAAGACACTCGCCGCGTGCAGCTAAGGCAAGAATAGACCTGGTCGAGGTAGACAGCGATGAGATTGTCGGCATATGACTACAGTCAAAAACCCTAATAAGGACGCGCGGTAAGGACGCAAGACCCTTGGAAGCCGAAGTTGGGATTTTTGGGGCGGCGGACGACGAAAACCCCAAGGACGCAAGGTACTCTGAGCAAGGACGCAAGGGTACCATGAGCAAAGTCGCGCGTCCTGATTAGGGTTTTTGACTGTAACAACATACAGCGACAAGAGTACACATGTAATGTCGGGCTGAGGTCCACCACTGTGACTTGTGCACGCTGAGGCATGGAAGAATGCCAAGGCCTCTCTGGTAGGGCATCTGTAATCTGAGAAGGGACCGCCCCATCTACCCTCTATCACAGCGCGTTAATATATATATATATATATTATATATATTACAGGCCAGAATGGGCGTAATGGGGAGGAGGGGCGGGGGGGGCATAACATAACGTCCCCCCGCCGTGTGGTTCCGGAACCACAGCGCTTGTACGCATCACAGCAAGCTCCACAGATCGCAGCACAGTATGCACCGCCGCAGCCGCGCATCGCCTATGCAATGCGCAGTGCATACTTGCAGCACCACACCCACACCCTCCTTCGAGCATGACTAGGCGCTGAAGTTTGCTGGACGACGAGGGCGTGCGAGCGCCGGACGACGACGACGACGACGAAGACGGGGACGGAGACGAGGACAGGGACGCGGACGACGACGACGAAGACGACGACGACAACGATGACGACGACGACGACGACGACGACGACGACAACGACGACGACGAGGACGACGACGACGACGACGACGACGACGACGACGACGACGACGACGACGGAGACGGGGACGACGACGACGACGACGAGGACGACGAGGACAAAGACGACGACGACCCCCAAGGTCCCAACCCATTTCCCAGGACCGAGTTCTCATCCTGAGTCGTTTCTTGACGGTCCCGAGGTCGGGCCAGGGCCCCGGGAGCCCGAAAGCAGCGAAAGACTTGCCTCCGCGAGCCTTCCATGACCCGCGGGCGTCTGTGGTGACGGCCACGAGGACCTCCGAGCTGTCTTCGAGGCTCCGGGGCCGCGGCGGGGCGCGGCCCGTGGGGCGTCTGCGCCGGGTAGCCCGGCGAACCGCACCTCCTGCGGGCACGCGCCTCCGCCCCCGAGGGAGTGTTGGACGCTCGTTCTGGGGACCTTCCTGGAGCCACTCGCTCCACTCGTGCGTCGAAGCTGCGTCGAACGTCAGTCGAGTAGATCCGTAAGGTGAGCTCCAGGAAGGTCCCCGAAACGAGCATCAAGGGAGTGAGCCGACTCCCCGCCCCGAGCGGGGCGGGGAGGAGGAAGCACGAGATAGGAGCCTCGGCGGCGAGTAACGGGGGGAAGTCAGGAGGAGAATACGGAAACGAGCTCCATACACAAACGCCTTTCCCGACCCTGCGCTGAAACTCGCGCAGGAGCGCGGGTTCTGGTGTATACGGGATCCTGGTGCATACATTTTTTGGTTCTTTCCCCGGACATCGGGGAAAAAAAGTATACACCACACCACCCCAGCATCGTCCCCGACCCTCAAAAAAGTCCTAGGATTCAAGAGACAGCCCGCCACTGGTAATGTATACGTTCCAATTTCCGAGAGAAGGCCTTCTCAGCCTTCTCCGAGGGCGGTGGGACTGCTCAGAAGCCCTCGCGCCTCCTGCAAAGTCTTCGGTGTCGCTTCGGGGAAGGTCCAGAAAACTTCTCAGGAGGCCGGGGTAGACTTCCGAGCCTTCTGGGAAGGCCCGCCCTCTCTTGCTTCCCCCCAACCTCCCTCGCCGTCGAGAGGGGGGGAAACAGAAGGAGGACGAGAGGAACAGGGGGGGCGGGGGGGGGGGCGGGGCCCATCCGCCCCGAGGGGGCGAGGAGGCAGCGCCCGGGCGAGGCCGGGAGGAGGAGGAGGAGGATGCGGAAGGAGGGCGAGAGAAGTGGGGGGGGCGGACGGGGGGAGAGGAGGGGGCGAGAGGAAGGAGAGAGGCGAGAGGAGGGAGGAGGGGGAGTGGGAGGAGGGAGGAGGGATCGGGGGGGGGGGGGAGGGCAGACGGCAGGAGGAAGAGGAGGGGGACGAGGAAGGAAGGGAGGGAAGGGGAGGGTGAAGGGGGTGGCAGGCTTTTGGGGGAAACAACCGCGTGCTCGCGGAGTCTGGCATACACTGACTGCTGGAGCGAGGGATCCGAGGTCCGAGAGTACCCTCTGGAGCCAGATGGAGGACTCCGAAGGTCCACCCGCCAGGATCCCGGCGAAACACGCACCCCCGCGGACCTCGCGTGAAAATGCCCAGAGGCGGTCCAGACGGAGCTCCCCTGATCGAAAACCAGCCACGGCCAGAATGCTCCGCGCCACACTGAGCACCGCGCCGCGCCGAGCCGCAGCCGCCGCGCGGGCCGCCGCGCCGACACCCCGCTGCGGACGACCCTCAGGAGGGGAAAACAAAAAAAAGACACAAGATCGTCGATTCCCCCCACAATGCCAGGAAATATGTGGGGAAAAGTGGGGGAGAAGACCGAAACCCAGAAAAGAGGGGGAAGGCTCGGGCGCTGGCGCGTAGGAGGAGGAGGAGGAGGAGGAGGAGGCGGAGGAGGAGGAGGAGGCGGAGGAGGAGGAGGAGGAGTAGGAGGAGAGGGAGGAGGAGGAGGAGGAGGAGGAGAGGAGGAGGAGGAGAGGAGGAGGAGTAGGGGAGGAGGAGGAGGAGGAAAAGGAAAAGGAGGATGGGGATCTGTGTCTGAGGCCACGAGGCCGAGGCGTGCAGGGGCTGGCGGTCGCAGATGCCGGCGCGCGGAAACGGCACGGGTGGGCCTCGGGCGGGCTGTGCGGCAGTGGCGGCCTCGCACGACCGGGGAGAGACGGCGGGAAGGAGCAGCGAGCCGAAAATGATGGGCCTGTTTTCCACCACCACTACCATAAGTTGGAGGGTAGGGGGGTCCTTCCTCCTCCTCCTGCCTCCTCCTCCTCCTCCTCCTCCTCCTCCTCCTCCTCCTCCTCTTCGTCCTCCTCCTCCTCTTCGTCCTCCTCCTCGTCCTCCACCTCCTTCCCCCCTCCAACTTATGGTGGTGGTGGTGGAAAACAGGCCCATCAGAAAAGCACAATCAGGGCGCTGACCTGAGGAGCCCTAAATAAGGAGCCCAGACATCGGGCGCCTCGAAAAAAAATCGAGACGGAGGCTCTTCGTAGTTTTCGGCCTCTCGGGGCCCTCGCCGGGCCTCGGGACCGTCAAAAAACGACTCGGGATGAGAAACCGGTCCCAGGGAAGTGGTCGGGAGGTCGGGGGCCCGCGTCTCGAAAAAATCGAGACGTTGGACGTCTGGGAACGAGGCCCCTTTTTTTCCATAAATTAAACTTTCATTTCCGATCGGAAACCTAAGGAAAACCTGAGGCAAGCTGTGAAGAACGTAAGGAACGCGGAGCCCCTCCCCAACCAAGAGGGTTCCTTCTTCAGGGCCCCGACTGTACAGGCGTGCGGCCGAGCGCGGCTCCAACCGGCGAGGGCACCATCGTGTCAGAGTTTGGGTCGGGCGTGCCCCCCTCACGGAGGGGCTCTGAGCGAGAAAGAAGACGGCGACTGCGCACAGGGAGGCAGGGCGAAGGAGGAGCGGGCTGAGAATCGTCGGTGGACAAACCTCCCTTTCGTAAACCTCCCCTCATTGAAGACGGCCTGGGGCCGAAACAGACGGACCTGGACCCGCAAAATGGCGGCCGCGACACTGCCTCGCGAACCGAAAGCGGCCGATGCCTCAATCAACGTGTCAGGGTAGGAGGTCTGTCCACCTCCGAAAGCAGTACAGGCGTGCAGCTGAGCGCGGCTCCAACCAGCGAGGGCACCATCGTAGCAGATTTTGGGTCGGGCATGTCCCCCTGCGGAGGGGTTTTGGACGAACAATAGAAAGTAGTCACAACATATCAAAGCGATTGGCAACAAATAATCGAGAATTCGTCCCAAGACTATTGTGTAACTATCGTTCAATCCTCCTCCTGTAGAGGGACAGGCCCGACTGAAATCAAATTACGTTGACCCTTCGTCGACAAATCGGGGCAACCGCAGCAGCAAGTTCGCAGGCCCGCGCTGGCTAAGCGATACCCTTGTTCTGCAGATGGTATCGGCGGTCCAGCAGATCATACATTTGGGCCTTGACATATACAGTCGGGGCGTTGACCTAAGGAACCCTAAATAAGGGACGAGGCCCATTGTTCCCAAACGATTGACTTCGATTCCCCATGGAAAACCATAGGGAAACCTAAAGCAAATTGCACAACAATCAAAGAACACAGAACCCCTCCCAAACGGAAAGGGTTCCTTCTTGAACGCTCCGACTGTAATGAAGTATGCATGAGCTTGAACAGCGGAATGGGTGTCGAGTCACACCTCTCTGAATGCTCGAAGACGCCACTTCGCTGCAACGTCGCTGTGGCAGCCTCCAATGCGGATGAGCGCGGCGGTCCAAAAATGCGCACACTACGCATCACGACACAGAAGATGGCATCATTGTCTCGAGGTGTTCCTGGCACATACTGAGATGCTGCAGCACAGATGGAAGACTGGCTGTCCTATCCGATTTTCATATGGTACAATTTAGCACATGCGAAGCCGACACAGCAGTGCGCGTGGCCTCCTCTCAAAACCTTGCAAACGTGTGAACGTGGTCGATCCAAGACAGATGTGCGAGTCTAAGGCCTCAGACACAGGAATTCCTGGGATCGTACCTAGTATGAAGGGGCCCCAGGACACACAAATAAATACACACAAATAGAAATATTCCCCATACTGTCCCATATGTTCTGGGTTGTTGTCTTCCCCCTCACTTCCCATATTTTCCTGTATTTCCTGGGAATCGACGATTAATTGTGTCTGTGTGTTTTTTCCCCTCCTGAGAGTACCCCTTCCCGCTCAAGCTTACCCTGGCTGGCCACCAGCCGCTGCAGGGCAACCCGGCTGCGTCGGCACTGCGACGGTGGGCGACACCCGCTTCGACGAAACCCAACGGAAACCTGCCAACACTAGGGAAGAAGCAAACGTACCTCGCTTTTAACCACCCTCGCTTCCAAGAAATACCAAACGATACCAAATTGCAGCCTGTATTGGTCAGGCCGCTTGACGAGGAGGCGCGTGGTATGGCTTGGTGTTGCCTGGAAGCGAAAGCGGGGTATGTAATTCACGCTCTGAAACGCACACACACACACACACACACACACACACACACACACGCACGCACACACACACACACACACACACACACACACACACACACGCACACACACACGCACACACGCACACGCACACGCGCACGCACAAGCGCACAATAGTCAATGGCATGCGTTAGCCTATTGCCTCTAGATCCTCACACGTCACCCGAAAAAACTCGGAGACGCTGCTCGCCGAAAGGCCGCTGCGTCTAGATCCGCCGGCGCGGCCAGCGGAGGAGAGAGCCGGCGGGTCGCCCGGATATCCGCAGAGAGGCCTCGAGCAGCGCCTGTGGCTCGCCATCGCTCGGACGTCAATTTTTTGTCAAATGATCAAGGATGCTCCTCGATGGTTCTCGCCGAAGGAAAAAAAAAAAACGCACACGTCCGAGCGATGCCAAGGCGGGGCCTGGGGCAGGAACGCGCAGGAGCCACAGCCCGAGGGGAGGAGGGAGGAGGGCAAGGGCACGCAGGGGAGCGGGGCCCGCCAGGGAGGGGTGGTGGCAGCAGGAGGACGAGGGCGGCGACGACGACGACGGAGGCGGCGGCTGCGCGGCCAGGCTCGGGATCTCGCGGCCGCCGCGCCCGCTGCTAGACCTCGCGGACGCTGCCGCGCCCGCTGACGCTGCCGCGCGGGCTGAGCAGCCGCTCGTTCTGATCGAGGCGGGCGCACGCAAAGCTCTGGCATGCATGCGTCGCAAACACACACACACACACACACAGATCCCTGCAGATACAGAGGATGCATCGGGCGCCGCGGCCATCCCAGAGAGTGTACTGGCCCTGGCCGCCCCCCCCCTCCCCCCCGAGGTAACGCCACGATTCGTGGTGACCTCCAGGGTGTCTCTGGCTGTTCCCAGACATTCCTGGGCGGCACCGGCGCGAAACGTGACGTTTACTGGACCCCCGCACCCCCCACCCCCGGGTGACGCCCGTTTGGGGAAACGTACCTCTCCGGGGGTGCGTTCTTGCTAGGATTCCGAGGCGAATCCCGCGGTGGCGACGAGGGCCTCCCAGGAGGCCCAAAAAGGGGCAAACGAGCGAAGGGCAGCGCGGTAGGGGTACCTTTTTCAGGGACTTGCTTGTGCTATCAATGTGTAAAGCACGCACAAAAAAACTAGTTTTAAAACCAAAAAGCAAAATATATATATTATTAGTATTAATAATACATGTTTTATATTAAAACAAAACACACACACACACAAAAAGAAACAAACAAAAAAAACAAACAAACAAACAAAAAAAAACTTGCGGACGCGTCGGAAAAAAACAAAGCCGCCTGTTGGCGTCCGCGCCCTGCTTCGCCTCCGCCAGCAGGGCGTTGATGGACAGGCCCCCGCCCAGGACCTCGGCGCCCAGGCGGCGGAGGCCAGCACACCTCTTACAGCAGAAGAACAGCATCCCTCAAGAACACGAGGCCCTCCTCCTCCTCCTCCTCCTCCTCCTCCTCCTCCTCCAACGCCTCTTCCTCCTCCTCCTCCTCCTCCTCCTCCTCCTCCTCCTCCTCCTCCACCTCCTCCCTCCACCTGCTCCTCCTCCTCCTCCTCCTCCTCCTCCCCCCCCAACGCATCTTACTCCTCCTCGCTCCACTCCTCCCTCCTCCCTCCTCCTCTCCTCCTCCTCCTCCTCTTCTTCTTCCGCCTCCTCCTCCTCCTCCTCCTCCACCCCTCCTCCTCCTCCTCCGCCTCCTCCTCCTCCTCCTCCTCCTCCTCCTCCACTCCTCCTCCTCTCCTGCTCCTCCTCCTCCTCCTCCTCCTCCTCCTCCCCTCCTCCTCTCCTCCTCCTCCTCCTCCTCTCTCCTCCTCCTCCTCATCATCATCATCATCATCATCATCATCATCATCCACATCATCATCATCAGCATCCTCATCCTCATCCTCATCCTCATCCTCCTCCTCCTCCTCCTCCTCCTCCTCCTCCTCTTCCTCGTCTCCGGCAGCCCCCGACCGCCGCGCCAGCGGATGGAACCCCCGGCCAACCCGTCCCACCCTCCTCCCGCTACTACAGTCGGACCTGGGTTAGGAGAACATCCTTTAAAAATAAGGCCCTCCGCCAGCCAAAACACCCCAGGATGCACAAGAACATCCAGCACACGCGAAGAACATTATGGATACTCTCCCCGAGCCGACCTCGATCATATCATACCTCGGTCCGACAGCACCCTCCGATGCTGGGGGGCCTCCAAGGGGGGAAGGATAGGTCAGCATCGAATCGGAAACTCGGGTCGAATCGAAACGTGCATCGAATCGGGGTGCAGCGGCCACGGATCGGGGATGGGCAGACCCCCCTTTAGCAAAACGTGGTTTAGTGAAAACGACCTGAGGCCCAAACCTGGCGGGCGCAGGCCTGGAAAATCACGGCCGCGGCGCCCTCTCGAGAACGGAAAACGGCCAATCCACGAATCGGCGTGTCGCTGTTGGGGGTCCTGTCCACCCCCGAACGGAACCAGACTCGAGTCCGACCGGCGGCGCCAGGATGCACAACAGCGCCGTGCAAGCATCGGGCCGCATCGGATCGTCAGGGTATAGTAGGCTCGGCTCGGGTCGGGCCTGCCGGAAATCGGCCAGCGGAGCGATCGAACGGAAACGAACCCGGAGAGGAGGCGCCCGGGAGGGAGCCGTGCCTGCAAGATGGCCCCCCCCCCGCTGCCGAAAAAGAGAGAGAACATCCGAGATGGCGCAAAAGAGGGCCGAAGATGCCTCAAGAAAAAAGACGTCGGCATGCCTCCAGGACTCGGGTCGGGCGAAAGGGGGGGATAGCAAAGGGGGGGGTTGAGAATCAGCTCACGTAGCTGATTTTCCCGGCGCCTCCCGGCGCTGGGAGGCGCCCATGTATCGAGGAATGGGCCCCTCGGTGAGGCCGAAACCAGCTGCATGCAGCAAATTTCGTAACCCCCCCTTTCCCAATCCCCCCCTTTCGCCCGACCCGAGAGATGGCGCAAAAGAGGGCCGAAGATGCCTCAAGAAAAAAGACTTCGGCATGCCTCCAGGACGGAGGAGGAGGAGGAGGAGGAGGAGGAGGAGGAGGACGGCCCCAACAGGCTCGAGGGGCCCACTGGTCCCACTCCAGCGCCGGCGCCCTGCCTTAGGCCATGCAGGGAGCTCCAGCCGGGTGCACACGCCCGGCTCGTGTGTCCACCCGCGAAGAGGCAGTCCGGCAGCCTCTTCTCTCGCGGCATGTCCAGTGGGAGGTCCTCCTCCTCCTCCTCTTCCTCCTCCTCCTCCTCCTCCTCCTCCTCCTCCTCCTGTC